CATGGAGTTGGAGGCGGAGTCCATGTAGCGCTGCTCCTTTATTAAGCCGTTCTCTTCATGGGGCAGAGTCTCTGCTGGAGAGAGAAACAACATGCACAACTTTAAAATGTCATTTTAGACAGAAAGAACACACACAGAATTGTGAATTTGCAGATCAGTGTCTGTAAAAGTAATCCCTGTGAGGCAAAAGCTCAGGGTTCAGAGACGTCTAAACGTCCACAGTTTTTTCTACTTTTGGCTCAGTATGAGGTCGTACAGTGGATCTCTTTTATATGGTCATTTTAGGCGCACAGATCTGGCTGCACAGTCATTGCGCGCACTGCTTGCTTAATTTTGTTTCTCTACACGTTTTAAGATGGCGCAGACCGTTGAGGGGCAGCCAATCAGAGGAAAGTTTGCCTCAATCCTTTATCACCCACATATCACCGGCTGCCTGTACCCATTTTGTCATTTTGGTTGTAAAACTCATTTTTCAGGAATTAATGGAATTTTCTTTCTAGCCCAAAATGGCCGAGTTAAAGTAATGTGAAGCACAGATGGTAAGATCAGTGTTGCCAACTTAGTGACTTTGTCGCTATATTTAGCGAGTTTTCAGACCCCCTTAGTGACTTCTTTTCTAAAAAGAGACTAGCGACAAAACCGGCGACTTTCTCTGGTGTTATTGGAGACTTATTTATGACGACTTTTTGACGTGAAAGTGCGTATCGCTCTTACTCTCAACAAGCAGCGGTGCTGCGGTGGGCACCTCGCCCGTGCCAAAGCGCTTATGGGCGGAGGATAGTCCTCCCCCAGCTGCTATCAGGGCAGGAGATAGTCACATCTATGTGTCCAAGCGGCAAATAAATCGCGCATGAGCGAAGCCGCAGCTCTCGCACTGACTGTAACGGAGTCAGTTCTTCTTTTACTGTTATGATGTTTTGTGGATCACAAGGTTTAAAACGACTTATAAACACACAAACACACACAGTAACTCCACTAGAGTGCCTATTTCGGGTCACTTTTTTCTTGGTCCAAGCTCGGATAAAGGAGGAGGATTGGAATTGTGACATTACAAAAAAAAAAAAAAAAAAAAGCAATAATTGGTAAAAGAAATTTTATTTATAGTTCTAAAATCTTTCGAAATGCATTTAGGACGTTTTTTTTTTACTCACTTTATGTCTTTTCCACGATGTTATTTCTCTCTCCTACAACATAGGTTACAATTACATTAGCATGATCAATTATGCAAATTAGGCGATGACATCATTTAGCGACTTCTAGCGACTTTTAGGACAGCCAATAGCGATTTTCCTTACTGAGGAGTTGGCAACACTGGGTAAGATCGAGGTGGAGCTGATTTTTCTGATTGCGTTCAGACAGTAGTAGCTTGCGAGTGCTATGCACTACCACAATACACTCTATTTCTGTAAAGCTCGTCTTCTCTTCTTTCCAAAACCATTTGAATTTTCTCTTTATCATATTTTCCTCTTTAACGGTGACTGAGTAACGATCAATTAACAAGTGTTTGTGAAATGGGCCCACTGACAGCAAAGTATTCTAGCTGGGTTCAAGAATAAAAATAAAGAAGTGGAAATGAGGATAATAGCCCCCTCCCCTCCCGTAAGCTGAAACAAGCCCAAACAGGCACTCCTAACCACATTAATATCTTAGCAGGCTCTAATTAAACACTGAGATTATGACTGTTTTCCTGGGCTTTGCACTCTTTATCTGCTTTTAATGAGGAAGTGTACTGTGCAGCAGTAACAGAGCTAACAACAGCAGAGCTATGGGTCACAATAGAGTGAAGCTACAGTGCTGATGTATTCAGATTCAGGCAGTGAGGACAGTGATTCAGTAACGTCACTTTACTGGGATGATTTCTAATTGTTTGTGCACTGAAGACTTCCCAGTCTGGGAACACTGGGACAGCTAAGTGAGCTCAACCAGCTCTGTTTGATAGGACCAGAATCACGCAAAGCTAGCCTAGCAGAGACCAAGAATAAGCATACAGAGTCAAAAATGTGTTCTTACCGATTACAAAAAAATTTAAAAAATTTTTTATACAAGGTTGCGTTTTTCCACAAATTAAGGTTTCTGAATAATTTCAATTTGCTGCCATTTTCAAAAATAACTACATTACATCCTGATGTCAGCTGGTTATGACGTCACTCTGGTGTCAAAGGGCATTTTAATGAAAAAACTGATTTAGGTGTGAACTTGAAAATGAAATCAGCTTGAGGCGTTGCCCACCATCACACAAATCTGATATCATGAAAACTGAACAGTAGACTGCTAACAAACAGACAAACGTAACAGATTACATAATCCCGCTCTTCGGGATAAGATCCGTAAGGAAAGCTGTACCTTCTGAAGGATGAGCTTCAGCACGTAAATGTTTAGGAGACAGCGGCGCTGCATACGGTGGAGAGACTCCAGAGAGACTTCGTTTACTCCCTCTTGCCAGTGATGGCGCGTCCATCACCTCTTCTTTCACTGAAACACAGAAACTCACTTTAACTCACACCAGTGGTTTGTGTATAAATTACACCACCACGCAAGATCAAATATCAGTAAAAAGATGACTGTGTGGCTTCTGAGATGTCTTTAGTTCTCAGTTTGATTGTGCTGTCAGATTTTATCTACAGCCTAGTTGCACAATCTGGATCTAACAAGACACCTGCCATTTTTATTCCAAGAGTGTCGTCACTCCACTAGCCTACATGCTTCATTGCCTGATCAGATACTTTCACACAATCCTAACAAACACTCTTAGTCCATCTGTTTGAGATCCATCTTTTGAAGAGGGCCAAATTTCTCTCAGGAGGGATCTTTGGGTTCCAAGAGCCTCTTTAGCTTTCTTGGAACCATGTTAGTGTTAGCCAGCTCCTCCCAACAGATGACGCACTCGAACTAACGGCTGTTGGCATCCCCACTCCAGCTGAAACCACACAACCGGTTACTACTGACTGTTAGTCAATCGTTAGGTGGTAGGTCCTCTGCACTGGTAGATAGTTGTGGTTTGAGCCACACAAGAAAGCAATCAGGATTTTCCCCCAATTTTTTAATCTCACTGCAGTCAGTCAGCAGCTTTGATGTGTCATGCTCTCATTATTCCCACCATCCAGCAGCTGCACAAACTAAACAGGGTTAAGGAGGATTTTTTAGCAGTGGAAATGAGTCCAAAGTTGTGATATACGACTGTATACATGGACATTCCTCACAGCATACCACTTAATCTTAGACCTCAACTACTGTATGTGCAAAAACTACAGGACCACACAGGACAGAATCTATATTTCATGTTCTTTACACAGGTGAAATAAATCCCAGAGCACTACATCTGTGGCTGTAGGATTCTTTGAGATGCTCTCACCTTTCTGCGACAGGAAGAGAAACTTACACCACCTTCATTTAGATGTGCTAAGAGTTTGTCCGTCACGTTCCACTTTTTTCAACAATGGCGAATTCAAAATTCCACATTTCATTTTATATCTGAGAAAGTTTAAAGATAATCACACAGAACTCTCGCTTTTTTTAATGGATGTGTGGAGTTTCTTCTTCCAGATTATTGCAACATTTTTCTTTGTGGTGCAAATGAGACGTTACTCTTGCGTTACTGCTGGTTTAAAATGCAGCAGTCTGGTTTCTTACTGGTTTTAGTATTCCATCACCCTGATCCTGGCTTCTCTACCTTTCTCTAGACAGCAGAAACGTTGACCCCATATTGTTGCCCGTTCGTAGCATTAGATCATCAGGTTAGGTCTTCCTGCTGCTTCCAAAGTCCAGGATTAAATACGAAGATGATCAACCTTTTGCATTAGAAGCCCTTGATTGTTGAACAACCTGCCTGAGGGGGATGTGGCCCACTGACATCCCTTCTTTTACTAAACTTCCTTTTATGTAACATCTTCTTCTTATCATCCTCCATCACTTCATATCATTTTGTAATGTCCTTGAAAGTTTCACTTCTGAAAATTTCCTTGGGTATATTTTCTCTTATAGCTGATGGAGTTTTGTCTTTATATTTTTCCTCTGTTCTAAATTTTTCATTTTAAACTGGGGGTTTTTTGCCCTTGTGTCTGTTTTTATTTGAATTTACCATCCTTATTTTGCTGGTTTGTCAAAGTATTCTGTAAAAGCAATTTGTAAACAGTGCTATTAAAAATAAAAAGTTGCAGGCTTTACCTGATTTCTTCCTCTCGTAAGCCGAGTAGTGGCTGAACGGCTGGCTGCTGAACAGGTTGTCGCACTGCAGATGACGACACATGGTCTCCAGGAAGCGCAGTACAAAGGAAGCACTGGAAGCTGACGGTAGCCTGACCACACGGACTCCACCATCTGTTCTCACTGTGGTGATGAGAACATGTTTTAGTATTCCATCAATCATCATGCACGGCTGCCTAAGGTGACAATAACAGAACAACTTTATACCTTTGACGACCTCCCCTCCGCCCGAGTCATTCTGCAGAGCGCTGAGCAGGACTTTAGGCTGGTATGCACAGTCTATACATGACTGGACGACCTGCTGGAGCACAGAGTTCACTGGACCTGGTCCAAAGTGGTCAGGTAGATGCTGCATCTGCTTCCTGTCCAGGTGGGGTCCGCAGTTTCCGTGCTTATTAACGTACACACACACTGAAACAACGCAGACACACTGAACTAATCAGACATTCAAATGAGAGCTTTCATTCTGTGCAGCAGTAGAGCCGTTAGCGTTTACCTGTCGAAACCACTGAGTTTAGGTTGGCAGGACTTTCCTGTGGCACCTGGATGCTCGGCAGCTGTGTGGAGCCTTGGATCATTTTGGGCTTTCTCTGAAAAACAGATGTTTATAAACAATTTAACAATAAGGAATGTTAAAGTAAAGCTAATTCTTAGTTCTGGGTGTATATGTGTGCTAGGGCAGTAATTATAACCTTGATTAAAGAATTTTAAAAAAAAGTTATGAGGGTAGTGTCTGCATTATGGCTGTAAGTCTGACAAAAATGGTTAAATGTCTTAGATACATGCCCTCCTTTGCAGTGTTTACATCTTTCAGAGCCACGTTTGAAAATCCTGCTCTCACTGAAATAAACTGGGTAGAAAAGTGCAACACTGTGAGTGAAAAGGGGGTGCACCTGATGCATTACACAATAAAACATTAAAGTGATGACATGCTGCTGTAAGCTTTAAGCTCGGTTAAAGCAATGCTCAGTGTTTAAAGGTTTCACAGTGTGGACACATTACAGGCAGATTCTGAAGAGCTTTGTTTTCTTTTTATGGAAGCATACTTCCACCTTTCCAGGCTCTCATTACAAATCAAAATGTAATCTGCAAACAATCATAGTCCAAGGAGCCAATCACAACTGCAGTTGCATTTGGTCCATTTTACAGAAATCATAATCCCCACAGTTAGGACAGTCAGGACACGCAGTTCAAAAGAACATTGGGGTTTTTCATGAAATTATTCAAAGATGTAAATAATGCCCTCCAACATCAACTGCTTGCTGTTTAACCACATTGTTTGGAAAATAGGAAACAAAACTCCCCGATACTGTTGTTGGGTAGTACTGTTTTCTTGAGCTTGTTGCCTAGAAAAAAAAAGGAATTTTTGCCACATTTTCGGTGTAGTTTTCATTTCAGGACTGCTGCGGTTGTACGGCAGTTTTCCCAGTTGTTGCATCTATTTTGTGCCTGTGAAAATGAAGCCATTATTGGCGTTCATTGATGATTGTGGACAATCGCTTTCTCATTCCAACATGGATACATTGACTGGATTTCAGTCGAGCATACAACACTGGTAAGTCCCTCAATCAGAAGATGTTTTGGATTGTGATAAACGGTTTTAGAATCTTCAGGGTCAGAAAAGTGAAAAAAGCAACAATTTGAACATTTCGGATCATTGTCCATAGTTCTGGCATGAAGCATGTTTTAGTTAGTATGATTCAGATATAATGATAATGACAAAGCCCAAAAACAAAAAGGATTCAGTGATAGTTGAACTGACGTAGCTTGTGTATTAATTTTGTGCTAATCAAGCATGTTTTCCTAAACTAGAAGATGATACCTTTCAAATTGAATTGTCATACATGAGTTTTTGCCCACTAATTGTTCTCTTATAGGTTTTTGTATTTGGGTGTGCTGTACAAGGGAAAATTTAATAAAAATGTGTGGCTGATAACAGATTAAACAGTCAAAGCTAGGCCTCACCTTGCTTCCTGGTTTGGGTCCTCTCTTCTTGTGAACTCGGGGTACCAGCTGTGTGTTTTCAGGTACAGACCCATTTTGGGCCGCGGCTGCCTCGGCCACCGCTTTGAGGAGAGCGATGGTCTCGCTCTTGGGCCGACGGCCTCTGACCCCCTTCCTGACCGGCAAAGGGGGCAGAGGATTGGGGAGTCTGTAGGGGGACTGCATGGATCGCCGACTCGGTTTAGAGGGTGACGAGGGAAGAATCTGCAGGTGCTTCGGCAGAGTAACTGCAAGAAAAACAAATGGAGTCAATGAAAATATGTCCTTGGAATAAAACGTGCATAAAAATGTAAAAGTAGGATATTAAAAAAACAAAACAAAAGCAAAACAGATGACATGCAGGTCATGCATATGGACAGGGTTGTCAAAGGGTGTCCCTCAGGTCCCTCGGGTCAGCGCTCAAACACTACAAAAATACCTTACTGCTGCCTCCAGTACCCTCTGGACCCTGAACTGGCTCCCAGTCAAATAAATAGGAACTCATGCTGAATGTTTTTTCTTAATTTAAAAAATAAAGAAATTAAAAAAAAAAATATTCTGGGTGCCAGCCTAGGATAGGATAGCATAATGTTACTAAAATTGACACAGGGAGCGCCCCAAATCAAAATAATATTGTGTATCATTGTGATGGCATCAGCCACACAGGGGTAAATTAGTCCATTTTTCACTTTATTAGTTTGCTTTGCAGTTTTCTTCATTAATCATTTGGTTAAACCTAACACTGGTATTATGAGGCGCACACATAGTAACATTGTGTGGTTTTTCTAAAATGTTTTGTTATATTAATTATGTTTCTCTTTCTTTGAGTTACCTGGGTTTGGGCGGTGGCTGTTTCCTGTCTGGGCAAAAGGCGTGGCTGAGGACTCTGGGGACAAAATGCCTGCTCAGCAGGACCAACCATGGGCTTACCAGGAGCAGGGGTGTTTTAGGTTTAGTTAGGTTATTCTGTGCTTAGTTAATATTAGTGTGTGTTTTTGTTTTTCCCCCCTATTGTGTTCAAATGGTTTGGCCAAATCATTATAAAAGCTACCCTCATGTGTCTTTGTAATTAGGTCAGTTTGTGAGTTAAGTTGTGTCTCACTTTGTTGTTCAAGTTTTGGAAATTACTTTTTGTATAGTTATATTTAGTTGACCTGTTTTATGGGCCTGCTAAGTATGGTTTTGAATTTTGTTAATTTTGGACTTTTTGAGGGTTAAAATAAAGAAAACCCTTTTTGAAGATATTTTTTGCCTGTGTCCTCTTTGCTTTGGCTGCTTGGTCCCTCACAATCATTCGAACAGAAGCCAGTTTTAAACAAAGTGTTTTTGGATCCATACAAAAAATTTCACCAAGTGAAAGTTTCATGAAATGCTGTAATCTTTGCAGTTTTGTGTTTCTCTAACCAACAGCACAGACACAACAGCTAATAAGCTACAAAGCCAGAATGACCAGTTCACTGGTTTTGGTGGGTGTTTATATGTGCAGTGATTTCTGTTTCCCTTCTTCTAAACTCTCAACATACTGGAAAAACCAAAAAACTACCACATACCCACACAAAGCAACAGCCCATGTATCCAACAAGTAAATACTTGTTTGTGTGTGTACTAAAGAATACCTAACAATAGCAACGTGCAGAGAAACAAGTGATAAAAATGCTTTTCAAGGTTCTTAAGTACACAGACCAAATAGTGGTAGGGAAAGACTTTTTCCAGCTTTTAAAGTAGTCTCGGGGCTCATGTATGACACAGAAAACTAAAGAGGGCTTTAAGTCTTTCATCTGTTCTGTGGTTGATAATCTTATCCACTATATAAGGAGTGCTGGTGCAGTAGAGACTACACTGAGCAGCTTTTATGTAAACATATATTCTTCCATGTAAACAGGTACGTAGTGAAGAATATAAATCCCATTCCTCCTCCTCTTTCCTGCTGCTGCTTTCCTCCCCTCCCACTTGTAATTTTGTCCGTTTCATCCCAGCCACCCTAACAGACACGCACACAAACGTAACAGGCCTCCATACTGATCTGCAGCTTCACACACAATACACCGCTCGTCTCCTACGACTGTTGGCTCGGGGCTTCTGACGCTCTCATTTCTGAACTTAGCCGCAGTCTACAAAGAGGACCACGTCAAAAAGTAGACATTAAGATGATATAGCAGCGCCGTAGAAAGGAAATCGATCCAGATCGAGCATGTTGTGTGTGAAGCAACAAACTCACAATCAGAGGCAGTGCAGGACTACCGGTCTACTTCTTATTAATCCAACTGTAAAAACAATGGCTGTGGAGCATTTCCTGTCACCAGCTCTGCATGTTGAAGTCAGGAATAAGGGAAACTGAGGACTTGTTGACGGGCAAGTCATCCCAGATAATCCTCCTTTCTAACTTAAATATTTACCACAATTTACAAAACGACCTTCATGTTTCACGTTTTATTTAATATGAGCTAAAACCAGCAGCTGACACCACAAAGTTATCAGGAAAGTTCCCTGCAGTCACAGATTGACCACTTTCTACAGCCAGAGGAGTCACAGCCTGCTGGCCATTGGAGAAAGTGCAGGTTTTAGGTATTGGCCAGAAGCTCCGTAATAAATGGGAGCATGCAGATTGTTCAATGGTTCTTTAAAAATTAAAATAATTATTTAAAACAGCTTGTAGACAAAAAGTCAGTTTAGTTTTTGTAAATACAGTCTCAATTTCAAAGCATTTTAACTGTTCTTACACTGAAGCCAATTTTATCCATTAACTATCACTGCATGCTGATAGGACGGTTAAGGACTGTGGTGGTTGAAGAAGTGTGAAGATATGTGTGAATGTGTGTGTGAATGGGTGAATGACTAAATGTAGTGTAAAGCGCTTTGGGGTCCTTAGGGACTAAGTAAAGCGCTATACAAATGCAGGCCATTTGCCATATCTTACACCTATCAAAACCCACCCAAAAAAATCCACAAACAAAAGCTGTTGGTGCTATGTTTAGCTACAACTTCACAGCATCCCATTAATTCTGGGTGATTTCATAACATTCGCCTATGACACACACAATACACCCCCACCACCCACACACACCCACCCACCCACAAAAAAAGAAGGACATTTCTGTGCTTTATCTGCTTGTCCTCTAGCTAAACTCTGACTTTCCACTTTAATGCCATATGGATTCATTTATAAAGCCTTCCGAGAGTTTAGTGAAGAAATACCCACCGCCTTTGTTTAACAACACAACTGAATAACCACCAAAACCACCAACCCAGCCTAAGATGGCCATAATCACAACCACACAACTGAAATAACAACGGTAAAATGGTAATATTCATCCACTCTCCTCAACCAACATATAAATCAAGTATACCGCTTTGAGGTTTGAGCCTTTCAGCATTACTGCCACATATAGTTGCCACACTTACAGTTTGATTATTTGTTGCATTAATTCCCTTTACTTTTTCTTTTCAGTTACCAATCTGCTGCTCCCTTGTTGAGGGTGGAGCTGTTAATAAGAGGACCAAACCATCCTCTGCAACAGCATGGGGCCAATGGACTTTTTTTTGCATGAAATTTAGTGAGTGTTCCTATAGTTTAACCCCTTTTTGTTTAGAATGGTTTGCTCTGCTACTTTATAGTTTGTTTATTTACGCTCTTGTTTTGTACATTTTTAGGTCTATACCTATTTCATATTCTTGTGTACTTCTGATGTATTTTTTTTATTTTCTTGGGTTAAATAAAACCCTTTCTTCACACTCGCCAAATCTGAGCATTAGTTAGGTAGTTTTGGGGTCAAGGCGCGGTGACTGAGTGGGTGAGTTCTGTGGAAGTCTACAGAGAAATCATCAGCCCTGAGCTCTGTAAACACTTTCCTGATGAGTTCATGAGCTCATTTATTTTGTTTCACATTGAATAAAACATTAGGTTCATTTTGTAAAATTACAGTTATTTTAACAGTTAGAAAAGCAAAACAGTTAACAATCTTGTCTGACAAATCATTAGCCAATCGGCATGTAGTTTCTCTTGTCACATTTCAAAAAACCAAGATGGCAATGATGAAAATGCTCATCTCTATGTTTAATGACGGGACTGCACTAATTAACAGGTGAGATCACAGTGGCTCACATCCATCTTTTATAGTGTTTATGGGGACAGCACAGTGAGAACTGCTTGTCTAGCTCAGCTAGCTTGATGGAAAATCTGCATGGGAGTGTAGTGGTTTAAGCATTTGCCTAACAAGCAAAAGATCCCTGGTTCAATCCTGGAAGAAAGTAGGATTGGGATTGCATTAGGAAGGTCACCAAATCAAACATGTGGAGCAATGCCTTATGAATAAGCAAGCAGCCAAAAGTAGCTGCTTCTTCACTTATGAGTCATTGATCTGGGAAGCTCATCTCACATATATCCGGCAAGCAGCACATTCTGAACAATTTGTACATGTTTCATAGTTTTATTTTTACTGTGCTGTGGTGAGGCAACAGTTAAGAAAGATAGCAAGTTCATTCAATATCCAGCTCTTCTGCCAGTGCAGCGATCAGCTGCAGACACTCCTCTTGAATTGAGTGTAAGGTTGCCAGGTATGGAGACATTTTGATACAGTATGCATTGTGAAGATATAGACTGAAAAAGTAAACTTAAGGAACTTCACATGAAGACATGAAACCTATGGGTGGATATATTCCAGTTTGAGGGAAATACAAATTATCCAATTTTCCAGACAGAAATGGTAAAATGGGGGGTTACTGGAAGATTACATTTTCCAGTAATAAAATGGGAATGTTTGCAGCTGTGCTTTTTAAGCAGTACACCTGTGACTGTGTCCTCTGATTGGTTGGTCCCTGTCACTTGGTGTCACTTGGTGGTTTATATTTTTTCTTTCCTCTCATCTCTCAGAGAGAGGTGGAAGAAGTGTAAAAGACCTTTATATAACTTCTAAGAGCCATAATATCACTCACTGAAATCCATATTCAAATCTATATTCATGCACATATCCAAATCTGTTATTCTTCTAAAATATGTGCATTTATATGTAATGTAATCACACATACAGAGGTAAACCTCAAGCCTTTTCTACTGTGTGCTCAGCACCTGTTAAAAATTACCCTGTGTATATTTTCCTCTGTCAGACTAAGCAACAAGACAACATGATTAATGTTAATTGCGTTTATATTTATCTAACTGTGGGTGTAATTTCCGGGCTGGTGTGTGGGGGAGAGGAGGAGTGTGCTGCAACTAAATGAGCATGAATGAAAGATTGATTGCAAACAATAGCATCTGCCTCAAACCGCATTATTTACAGCAGTGAGGAATGCGCGGATGTCTGCTGCCCCCTACAGTCGAAGACTTACCACTGTTGCCGGGTGGCTGAAGGCTGTGCTTAGTGAGGGAGCACCAGCCTACCGGGAAGATGTCTCGGGAGTCATACTTGCACCAGTAGTCAAAGGCGCCCCGCCAACCGTCAAACATGATGAAGACCTCATCGCCCTTCACTTCTCCAATTGTGGCGGGGCAGATGAGGTACGGGTTCTTCTTGTCCACCGCCTCCAGCTTCATGCCTGGCTTAAAGCTATTCTGAGGGGGTCTTGGTGGTTCCTGGAAATAAAGGCAACGTCCTCATTCGTCATTGCAGCAGCTTTTAAATACTTTATACTTTTTTAAAAGGTTTACAGAGGTAATACAAACCTTTTTAAAGGCTGTTACTGGTGCCATCTCTGCTCCATTTAAGGTTCTCAGCAGAAACATGGGCCAAGAGGAGGCATTCATCCGAAATCCTGAAAAGACAGGAATTTAGGCTTAAAACCAAGTTGAACTAATGCAGAAGACAGAAGTTACTGTTATTAGTAGACCTTGTCAGTGCTGCTTGTTAGGCAGCATTATGGTATGTTCACATCAAAATTCCACTTTGTCCATACAAATGTTTAGACCTTTCTGCAACCCCTAAATATTTTCCCCAAACAGTCAACGGAAGCACTTCAATGATAGCTGGAACAAATAACATATTTCCAGAACATACCAGAAAGTCCGAAGATTTCACCCACTTTTCTCCGAGCTCGCTCATTTTCTACTGTCTAAAAGCGAAATTGAATCAAGCAACTCTTGTTCTCCACTTTGTTGCCATCAGTCAAGTCAGCAGCTTGTGGGCTGACAGGCTTTTAAACACAGCAACAAAAGAGTTTGTCTGCATTTTAAATCACGCATTTGAAGCATGTTAACTTGTATCTTTGATCTACAGATAGATTATGTATCGAGTGTTTAATAAAATAGACTTTTTAAAAAATACTGTGACGTAAGGCCCTCGTTGTGGGAAGTTAGTTTATTAGGTTTCAGGCTGCTCTAAATGCTCAGCATCAGTTTTCTCTACTCTTTAATACTGATGATGTAAATGAGACAGGATATTCCTAAAATAGTCAATTTAGGCACACAGCTCTGTTGCTAAAAAATCTTCTGTTTGTGATGGGTAGCTAAACAGAATACGCACTAAAACAGCTTGTTTCAGACAAAAGATAAACTGGGGGTCTGCACAGAGGCCCAATATGAGCTAAATAAAGATGTACAATATGATGAAAGCAATCCTGTCACCATGTATTTTTATTTTAAAAATATTCCAAACATAATTCTTCACATGTCTGACATTGTCTTGACTTCAGGTTGTAACAAAGTCAAAATAATGATGACATGGGAATTAAGTCTTCCTTATTGAATAATTTGCAGCTCATGTTGTGTGTATTATTACTAAAGATAAAATCAAAACCTTGTATGTGCTTCTTTCCAATCCTTACCCAGCGGTGGCTGCAGCATATCTCCATTCTTCTCACAGGTGCCGATAGGCTGGATATCAGAGGAGTCGACTAGTCTCCAGAAGTCATTGCTGTTATCACTGCCGTCCAGACGGAGGCGCAGACGGACCCCAGTAATGCCCATCACTGTGGCAATGCAAACTGAGGTGGAGTTGCGTGGGTCGTGAGCTTCAAGCTTCATTCCCACCTTGAAGTCGTTGGTAGGTGGGACTCTAACCTGAAGATAACAGAAAAATGTCACGAGTGTGGTTGCTGTAATCACAGCAAACAAACATGTTTTTGAACTCTCTATACAGGCTAACAAAAGCTGTCCCAGTACTCCCAGTATGAGGTGTTGGGAGCATAAAAAACAACTATCCAAATGAAGAGAATTTACTGAATCACTGTCCCTAACTGCCTGAATCCAAATACATCAGCACTGAAAACTCACTCAGTGGTGATCCCACAGCTTTGTTACTAGGTCTGCTGTGATTCACAATACACTTCCTTGTTAAAACCACATAAAAAGGGTGCAAAACCCACACAAACAATCACAATCGAGGGCTTGTCTAGACCTGTATATGCTTAGATTCTTAGATTCTACTAAAGTAGCTCTGAATGATTTACAATTCAAAATAATCCTTATTTATCTTACACTAGCCTATTTTACACTTGGTGCAGGCCCTCTGTTTGTCCTGTCTGAAACAATTGATCTGATTGGCAGGTCTAAGCAGCATGTAACTGGGACTGCTGCACTCACACTCAGACAGCCGCGTACCGGTCCAGAGTTCATGCATGAAAACAGTCTTTCAGCCCTTCATCAGACCGTTGAAACATTTAGTCAGTGCACCATTGATGTGACCCAGCTGATTAACATCGGCCAAAGCCATTTATAAACTTCATCTTATTTCCCGATTCCAGTGTCACTCAACGAGGCGATATCCCTTACATTTACATTTTCCTCTAAGACACTGGGTCTATATTCATGCAAATGGCCCTCAGCAAATGTTTCACTAGACTAGCTGGCGCTCACTTCCTCCAAGGCTGAAAACTGCAGGTCCAGGTTACTCTGGAATGTTTTCTTGAGAACAACTCCAGAATGATCACAGTTTTTGTTATTTCAAATAAATACATTTGTCAGTAATCCTGCTAACACACAAACCAAACCAGTCACATGACCATGGCTTTGGTAGCATTTATAAACTCAGGAGGACATACCTGACGAAAACAGGTTGCTGGTGCTGGTATCGATGATGTTTCCTTGAGATATTCTTCCCAGCTAAAAGCATCTAAAGAGAAACAACGAGAAAGCGATGTGAGAAAGTGAAAGTGTATTTCATCTATTAAATATATCAATTATTAAATATTACAGAAATGAATATCCGTGTGCAAAAGCTTGAAATAAAACTGTTTATCAGTGTGTGAAATGTGACATTATACCATGATTTTAGTCCATCTATACAAGCCACACAACTGAGCTTCTCATTTCTTAAAACACTGAGAACAAAATCTCAATAATGACAAGAAATGAAGAACATCTCTTGTGGATGTTTAGCAGTATGTGATACAAACAAACCTCTCTCTGTTGCAATGGCTTGTCATTAAAAGCTCATGAGGACGTTACATAAAACAACTATAATCCTGCTCTGATTACATAAATACCTATTAGAGTGCATCTTGTGTTTCATCAACTTCATCATGTCTGAGAGTTAAACACGAAAATGAAGTGAATCCTTTCACAATTTAAAAAAAAAACTTGAAGGGGTCATACCTGATTTCTCTTTTTTGGCTTCTTTCTGATCTAAAAATTACAAAGACAACAAGAAAACCCTTATATCTTACTTCAGGCAATGTAGGCATTACAATACATTTTCCTTATAAATTTAACTTATATTACAAGCTTTAAATTACAGTCTGAACACAGAACATATTCATAATTATGGAATGTAATAGAGTATAGGCACCCTCTGTTAATTATAGCCATTTTATAAACAAAAAAAGTTAATTTTTCTAGGATAAGTGAAGCCCCGATTAATAGAACTGGTTAGAATATGAATTTAGTCACAATATGGGTGGTTTTCCTTTTTGGCTCAAGCCAAAACTTGTTTGGGTGGGCGCCACATACCCTACAATCTGTGTAACAAACATTTACAAACATCTGAGGGAAACTACTACTTTTTTTTTTTACATTATGAAAAAAACCCCATTTTTTTCCATTTTGTATAAGCACAAGTACCAGCTTCCTCAAACAAATGAAAGGTCCTTGCCTTTTAGCGGCGTTTTCCCCATGGTGACAGATGACCAATGTGGCACTTTTATGGTGATGAACAAGGTGCCAGATGATCAACCGACTTGTTTCCGTATTCTCTGAAAGTTTGTCCTGAAAACACAAAAATGGATCATTTGGGACAGAAACAAGACAGAAACGCCTTAAAAATATTGAAATAACAACGAGGCAATTTGTCCAAAGCAGAACATCCAACTCGAGGGAGTGTTCGAGCTGAAAATTCCAATTGTGAATTTAGGAATTCCAGCTTCCCACTTCAAATGTTACATAGCATAAGACTCAAAGAGAGGAATAAAAGATGTTCAATTTAGCAAATGAGAAACTGGGATGGACAACTAAAGCCTGACTTATTATACTCCTTCTACATCTATTTGCGCAGGTATTTGGCTACAGAGAGTGAAGTATTATGGGTATTTAAGAAATGCAGACGACTGCCTGCAGACCTCTAAAAAAAACGAATAGAGAAAAAAAACGATGCACCAAACTAGTATCTGGACTGAATATCTGGCAAATATGACATCTTTGTTTTGTGTTAACTTCATCGAGAAGAAGCTAACACAGCATGGAAGAACGGTCAGGTTTGGGGGTCAGGTTTTTACTGTTTGGGAATGGTCCCAGTCTTCCTCAGTGTCGGAGTACCAGGTTATTTATTGATCACAGACAGATATTTGGTATCAGCAGATATCAACATCTATGGTAGTGATATCAGAAAATGAAAATCTTGATTGGTACATCCGTTACAGCAGAATGAAAGAAAACAAAAAAAACAAACATGAATCCTCCTGATCCTCGAAGCGGTAACGCCACCATTATCAACATGAAGTGACAGATCCATGTTGGAGTGAGTGAAGGTATTCAGCCATGAAATCAGGGCAATGCAACAGGTAGAGCCCACATGGCACGTATTTCACCTAATGCCTTCTTAAATCTCTACCATCCAATCTAAATTTCTGTGCACCTCAGGTTTGTTGCCGTGATGTTCCCTCTCACTCTCTTACATGATTAGCATATCGATAAATGGTTGTTACTTCTGCTTGATCCATCAGAGATTTCCCCTAATTTGCATAATTTCCAACTGGCTGTAGGGAACTGAAAGGGAATGTTACCTGTTAAGTACAATATGTATATTAGTACTGAGCAGTTATTAATAATATCCCTGTGCACCTTTAAGGCTGAGACAGACTGGAGGGTAAGACCTTTTCTTTCAGTGCATATTAACTTTAATTATCTTTACCTTTTTTTTACTGCAGCTACTCTGTGGGCACTGACTGTAACAGTATTTGTGAACTGACACAATAAAAGGTTGAACAGCTTTTGTTCTGAGGTTTCGAGAGTCTGTCTCTGTCTATATTAACCATCCCTGTGTTATTCTTTTAGAGAACTAATGTGCAGATGTTAATTCCAGCTGTTCCTCAGCCTGCTGAAATAATCACAGCAGCTGCTGCTTATGGGTTGGAACAAATTAAACTTCTAAATATTAGCGTTTAGTTCATTATGCTCCTTTTTATGTGAGATCATTTACAATTGTTTACATCTACAGTCATCTCAGAGAGAGAGGAGATGCCAGCATCTGAATAGGGACTCAAATCAGCAGACCTTAAGTTACTAATCAGCTCAACTGACATTTAGCATTTAATATGCTAAAAAACCAGTTGATTCTGAGGAGGTCAGGCATGAGCTTATAGTTTTAAAGGAATAGTGGAGATGTCCCTAAAAATAGCCCACATAGTAAAAGTATGAAGATAGGCAAAGGATACTGTGGTTAGCAAAACGGAAATCAACCTTTTTTCGTAAAGTAAAAAACCATCAGAACCTCTTTCGCGTACAGTATTGTGGTTTTCCAGTAATGGGTCACTCCCACGGAGACAGGAAGCCTCGTACAAGGTGGGTTTTTTTCATGAGGTTCAGCTACAACCGGGCCTGTGGTGGGACAGCCCATACGACACAGTCTGCAACTTTGTGTACATTCCCTCAGTTTCATTCCCAAAACATCTGTAGAATGTAACTAACTCCACCACCAGGAGTCCCGTAAGTTAGTGAGTTTGGTATAAAGAAAGCACAACAGCTGTTCTAGGTCAGCAAATAAAAGCTGCGTGCCCTCCCCTCAAATTTACAGTAGAAACACGGTCTCAGTCATTGAGGTAATATTAGCCACGCTGAATGCCTATTATAATGACGCTAATAACGCCCCGCCTATGAGCTAAATTAACGTTACATCGACCCAAGAGGTTATTATTCACAACACCTACATTTATAACCTCATAATTACCTACAGCCAGAACTACATTTTCTAATTTTTACTCTCAAATCAGCTGGTTATGTCGCCTCACCCACCAGCCTTTTAATGTTAACTTGGATTGTAACAGCTAGCGAGGCTACATGTCGAGGCAGGAAGGTATAATTTAATTAATTTATCATAACGCCGAGTTTTAAAGTGTTCCATATATGATGTATATATGATATATGATGCATCTCTGCTCTCTGTTGTGTAACATTAACGGTTTCAGGTAATAGTCTAGGCCCAATGTTGACAACTGGAACTGCTTGTATGTTAGCTACCGCTGCTGGCTAATAACTAGGTTGGCTAACCTTAGCGTTAACCCTCTGAGAACAGTTTCTTCCACAGTATCGGAGAGAATCGCACGTAGGCAGGATTGAGAAGCTTCCACGGATAATTTCCCCAAACTCCAACTCATTCATTCTGAAGTATTAACTTACAAGTGCCTTCTTTTTTCGACTGAAGATCCACTTTTTTTCTATTCGTCAGCTGCCATTTTTTCACGAATGTAGTGTATCCTTACACGTACGTAATATATGCCAAAGATTGTGCTGAGAGGAGAGTACAGCTACGACACGGGGACTGACTGCAGGAGGAGTAGTTCAATGGCCAATGAATTCGCTTGCTGCTCACAGTAGTAGCCAATCAGGAAAAGACTCAAATAATTTTTCCAATAAGAATCCGGACTGCATTGTCTGTAGTTTCAGCTTCAAAAAACTTGTATGAGTGATCCACTTCAGCGTTCCTTCCTCTTTACAGGGTCTTTCTCCTGTGTCCCCCAGCTGTGCTTCAAAACTGAAAAACTGTAAACATGTAAGAAAACGCCTCGAATAAACAATGTAAGATAAGTGGTCTGGTCTTTAAATACGTAAGGCCAAAACTACAGAACAGAAAATAGTAAAAAGAAAAATAATTAATGCAAAATGCTAAATTCGTATTATAATATAATATAATATAATATAATATAATATAATATAATATAATATAATATAATATCATGAAAAGCAGTAAGTACATTTGGAGCAGAACTAAAGCCCTTGTCCTAAATAAAAACTGTTTATGTTAGTGAAACTGTAAAGTGGTTGTGGTTTGTTCTCACTTAAAGTGGGTAGTAATGCGTCATCACAGAAAAATAGCGTATGACTTACGGTCACTGTCCCGTCTTCACTGTTTTTCCCCCGCCCACACATATTTTTTTTTCCTCATTAACTTCAGATCAGGAGTGTCAAGATATTTTTTTTTCTTCATCTTTAAAAAAAGAAAAAAAAATCCTTAATTTAAGTGTAAAGAAGTATGTTCTGATAGACTTCATCTAAGCCACATCCAAGACTTTCTTAAAAACAGCTAACCCCATCAAAGGGTTTTATTTCTTTTCATATTCATTTTCTAATTAGATGAGAGATCCGGTTACAAAGCTGGCGACAAAACAGCCTGAAGTGTTTTCAACATCATTCCTCATCATTCCCAAATTCATTGAATTTTCTGTTATTACATGTATATTACACACGTAACAGGCAAAATGCTTTGGTTTCCTGTCTTTATCTGGATTCACTACAGCAGGAATTACCACAGTGGAAAACAGTGGTGCTATGGGACAAAACACATTCAAATTAACTGTTTTTTATGCTGAAATATTCATAATATAATGAGTGTCTGGTAAAATATGATGGTTTTATAAAAACCCTAATATAGTATGGATGCACTGGTATTGTAGTATCTGGTCATACTGACTTTGTTAAATGATAATAACATGCATTTTCCATATTAGTGGTGGATATTAATCAATTTTCCTTCTAGATGCAAGCTTGGACACTTAGCACCCATATTGACTTATATGGGCCTCTATCTTTAGCATTAACTAAATTAAATTGATGTCACTGGAACCACCAGTCAAATCAGATAAAAACACTAGTCTGTTTATATTGTTGCAGAATCACAAATTTAAAGTTCAGGATCCCTATTTTGCTCTCTGTTCCACATGTGGCTGTTCCACATCAATTTAAGTTGGCTAAATGTATGAGAGCTTAAAACATTTTAAGCATTTTGACTTAAGAGTCCCATTAGTTAAAATTAGCCTTCAACACTAGTTTTTAGCTTGTAAGTCTTCCCTTTTCCAAATGTTCTTAAACATACACACCAAAATTTAGCTTGTAATCGCTGTAATAGAAATTTGTTTTAAATTCCACTTAAGTGGTGCAACTGCTGAGGTTGTGGTTGTTTGTTTTCACTTGCTCTGCATTTTCTTTTCCAATATAGACAGGAAGTGTGGAGCAAAATGTTGTACGGTATCGCTCCACTTTCTCAGTGTTTACTGAAATAAAACATTTTCAAATAAAGTTGTATTAAAAAAATGTTTCTATCCATAAATATAAATGTCAAGTATTGTAAAAAGAATTGTGGAGACCAAAGCAAATTCCTGTTTGCAGTGACCAAACAGAGCAAATACTGAAAAGTGTCAATCATTTGTGAAAGAATTATAGAGTACATGTTCCTTTTTAATAACATAAAAAAAATTAACGCTGGGGGGGGTTTTGTCATTTGATAAAAATAAAAAGTGTCTCTAATACCAGGAATCTTTCCATTTTCGGCTCAGTTCTTTGTAGGAAAGAAGTTGTTTGTGACACAGAAAATTATAGAAGTTTCACATCCTTATTTGTCACTGGTGAAATGGTGCTGTTTGCCTCAGATGTGCAGAGGGCACCTGTTATAGTAGTTACACCAACAGTGGCCTCACAGCTGTTTAACTTTGCAGAACAGCCACTCAGTGTCTAAGTATTAAACAACATAATAACAAGAGCTCATAATAAATTGATTCAAACATTATCTTGAAAGCTCTGGAATGGGGGGTGGG